TGTGATACTTGTAAGCACTCCTTATGATGCTAGTAGTCAATTAAAAAAGAATAAGGGAGATATTGTAGATCAAAATAAATATGCTCAAATTATTGGTACCCTAATGCATTTGATGAATTTTACTAGACCTGATATTGCATATGTTGTGTGTAGATTGAGTAGATATACTCAAAACTCGAGTCATGATCATTGGAATGCATTAGTAAGAGTAACAAAATATTTGAGAGGTACCATGAACTATGGTATTAAATATAGTGGATTTCCCACTGTACTAGAAGGATACAGTGATGCTAACTGGATCTCTGATTCAGATGAGACAAAATCCACTAGTGGTTATGTGTTCACCCTAGGTGGGGGTGTTGTGGCATGGAAATCAGCTAAACAAACAATAATAGCTATATCTACCATGGAATCTGAGTTTGTGGCATTGGAATTGGCTGGAAATAAGGTCGAGTGGTTAAAGAACCTTTTGGCAAGTATTCCACTAGGAATAAAATCGACACCTTCTGTGTCGATGCATTGTGATTGCCAAGCTGCAATAGTCATTGCTAAAAATAAATCCTTTAATAGGAAGAGTAGACATATCCGATTGAGACATAATGTAATAAAATAGTTGCTGAGAGATGGAATTATTTCCATAGATTATGTGAAGTCAGAAGTGAATTTGGCCGATCCTCTGACTAAACCTTTGGGAAGAAAATTAATATCTGAAACATCGAGGGGAATAGGACTTTTGTCAATTTGAGTTTTATCAACTATGATGGTAACCCAACCTATGTGATTGGAGATCCCATGAAGTAGGTTCATATGTGTAATAACAAGTCATTAGTTGATCAAACGTGCACTATTAAATTATATCCGTTCCTATGATGTGTGTATATATAGTGCAAGACTGCAAGGAATGGGAGGCTGAGTTATTAAACTCTTAATCTAATCCATAGCCTAATTTTTGGTGGTGTATTGCGCTGCAGAATACACTTGATGGATGGACCTATATGAGTGTGGAGTGAGGCCACTCCTATGAAATTTGTGGCAAAATTTCTAGAACACTCATGAAAATCAGGCGCGCGCATGGCCTATTAGCGTAAAACCGTGACAAACAACAAACTGTGTGCGGGTATAATGTGATAGGTAAGACACTAAACTTACAAAAGAATTCTTGGTTCATAGAAGTTCTAAACTTCACCAATTGTTCTGTAAGTTTAATCTTATTTTATCTAGGTCTGGTTCATAGTCCAAGAGACACCAGATTCGATGCATTATGCTCATTTGTGAAAACCCAGCGAAATTTTTTATTTTTCATTATAATATTCTTTTTGAGCTATGTGGGAATTGTTAAAAAAAATATTTTTAACATCTCAAAAAGAATATTTAAATTAATGTTGAGGTTCATCCTTTTAATGAGTCTTTGTATGACCAATCAATTTGAATATATTTTAGTGTGTGTAAAAGTAAATTAGAATAACTTTGAATATAATATTTATTAACATTAATTGGCTATCAAAATCAGTTATTTGTTTTATATCTTTGAATCTGATCAAATATGATCTTAGATGATCGTTTCTTAACATTGATTTAGAAATCATTTCTTAGACCATTTCTTTACGTTGACATCAGTTGGCATTTGACTCCTTAATAGAGTTAAATGTCTTTCATGATTGTCTTTTGGCTTTTGTAATAGAAAAGCAACGTTAAAAATTTTGATGAGCCTTTATGGCTTAGAATTTTTATCAGATGGGTATTTTAGTTTTTGGAATATATAAGTCCTTTGTGTGGTCACTTTGAAAAGTGTGAAAATAGTAAAAACTTTTTTTCTTCTTTCTTTTGTACTAGGTTTTCTTTTTATAAATCTTTGTTGTTTCTGCTCCTGATTATACTATAAGAGCTTGTTGAATCCTGGGGGATACGCCTAATATTATTCATCTCGGTATAGGTGAAATATCCTTAAGGACAATGTCTTTGACACACCTCAAGCTAAACCTTTTATTCTCCATAATCATCCAATTTTTTACAACAAAAGCCCCTCCGTTTCCATTACAAATGTGGTAATTTTTTGCACTATTTCGGTTGTGGACTCACTAAAGAGCTGAAAATATATGGGACAAAAACACAAAATAAGGACAAAGGAAGACATGAGTCTAGATCAATCTGAGTCTATGATGGGGACTGATCACCGAAACCCTAGCCATCCAGCAACATCCCACCAAGGCACTGCAGACATGCTCAGAATACTAGTTTGTACGACATATAGCCAAGACAACCATGCATATTTTCCTATTTGGTTAACACCTCCATGTGACTTGCTTCTCCCTATCTTGCACTCTAATACATAACCATTGTACTATATATTCCGTATTTTAAATTTACTGGCATGACTAATTCAAATTCATGTTCGTCAAATTAATTACTAAAGGAGATAAAACGTTCATGCCAAAAAAATTCCATTTATAGGGCCTTAGCACCAGTGATCGACGAAGACACTCATTAGTTTTGAGGTGTCATCTGACAAACTAGCTAGGTCAAGTTTTTTTTCCTCTCTATCAAGTTTGGTATAATTATTTAGATTTGATCTTACTATCTTAAATAGTGTGTGTTTTTCTGGAAAAATGTGAGTAACAATTAAATGTGGTTTGTGGCTTTAAAAAGATATGTGATTTATTCCAATATTAGTGAATATACAAGTAATATTCGGTTTAAGTAAGAAGAATTGATGAACCAAACCAGTGTTGTTAGAGCAACGGGGACCTCGAGCTCGATTATCTCAGGAGCCTCGAGGTCAATTAAGAGCAAATAAAGTATGAACAGTAAATTAAAAACAATAAAGCTGAAGAACAATTGTGGAGCACGGTAAACGAGAAAAGCAGAGTAGAACGTTCTATTGCAGTGAATGAGATGATTTTTACAAATGATTGTGGTCCCTTTATATAGGAGGGGAGAATCTTAATATGGTACATTCCCAATTATGGTAAAGAATTCTATTGGTACACCTGTATAACAACCTAGTACGGACCCATACTATTTCGTACAAATCATATCCCTTAATTTATGCTCTGATCCACGTGTCCTTGAGAAATTCCCGCTCTTTCTTGAGTGTCATCGAAATTGTACTGTCCTCGAGGCAGATCATGACGGGTCTTCGATTTTCTTCTCGAGATGCGCATATCCCGGCCAGACTCGTTTCTTACTTCGAGCTTCCGAACTCGAGCTCGGGGTATGATCAAGTCTTCTAAATCGCGGCTCTCCGATTTAAACCGTATATAGTGTGTTCATGTTTGGATTTTAATTTTCAATTGAAAAAAAGTCAAAGATTTGTGAGCAAAAATTATTACTAGCTTGTTTAAAATACTCAAAGAAGTTTTTTAATATACTAATAAAGTTCAGTATTTGCAAATATTGATTGCTAAATCAACACTTGCTAATTCTTAACTTCGATATTTGAAAATACTAAAGTTCAGTATTTGTGCAAATTGAAGTATTTGTAGCTTACCAATTCTAAAATTACTAACACATACAGAAAGGCCTGAGTACGATACATGAGCAGAGGCGGAAATTATAGTACTAGTAGGTAGGGGTTCGGATGTACGGATTAAGTAGGTTTTGCTTCGATGATACTGTATATTTATATTAGAAAAATCCACTAATACATAAAAATAATTAATTACGAACTCAACTCAGTAATCAAAACAAATTATGAATTCAGCGACAAATTTAAAAATTATAAATTTCAAATTTTGACACTGCTTCTATCCACGAGTGATCGTACTAGGAAAGTATAACTTGTCATCGTAATGCCTCCTCGGTCAGTGACTATGATTTGGCAAAATTGGACACTTAAGTAGTTGAAAGATATACACAAATGGAAATTTACGGAGAATTTAGCATTCTAGTGACTGCAATCATGAGTTCCATTATTAATAAAGTTCTTAATTAACCTGCTGTCGTGGGAATCATTCATTTATTTATCTCATTTTTTTATTGTAACGGTGTTCTGATTAACTTGTGTATACATCAACTTTTGTTATTTTTTAATATAGGTATCAAATAACTTTGTCAATCCTTTCCGAAAATGGAACTTTACGGAGAAATTAGCATTGTGGTGAAAACAATCATGAATTCCATTATTGGAAGAAAAAAATTCTGAATAGGAATTAATAACCTGCTGGTGTATGGGAATTGTTCATTCATTTATTACATTTTTAATACTAGTAATTAATGGTGTCTGAATTAGCTTGCATATTCTTTGACTCGATCTCTTATCCCCACACTGTTATAAGTATCAAGTAGCTTGCATAATTGTGGTTCAATTGAATTCCCTCCAACGGGGCTAAATTGAATTCCTTTCGTCGGAAAATAAAATTAAGTATTTTTGTATTTATGTGAGCAGTTGAATTCGCTTAATAGTTAAGTGTATTCATTCACTGTGTAAAGTTTACAATTTCTGAATTTTTTGTAAAAATTTCTGACTTCGTCTTTGGAATATATAGTACTACTGTTTATGCATGCACCAAAGCCAAATAAACAAACGTAATGTGACATAATCTTAGCCATCCAAAACGAGACATTAATTGGCTACAATTAATAATGACTGAATATGATTAAATCATCTCGTATTTTTCTTAAACTCATACCAGAGTAATTCACCCATCAAAAAGATAAGTGCCAGAGGGGTTACCTAGGAGAAGATATTGAACTATATTTTATTTTTGTACATTCAAAATTTGAAATTTACTGATCGGATTAACTCGAATTCACACTGAGTGGCCCCAGTAAGAAGTAAAGAGAGCCTAATTTACAAAAATAGCCAATTTTGTAACCTTGTATTTTCAAATTGGCCACTTTTTAATTAGATCAACGGTCTTAAGTTCAAAAGTGTGTACCTAATTTGAAGTTTGAAATTCAGTACCATATGTCTAATTTTAAAAATGTGCCCAACTTACACAAACAAGATTACAAAATTGGCCACATTATAAAGCGCTCTTTACCAAGAAATTCTCCATTTCTTAAGACACTGAATTAGATCTTGGCAAGGAAGAAGACATATTGATGAACTGAATACAATCATCAATTGCCTCAGCCCTATGAGAATCAATATTTGGAATAACCAATGATTTAGAAATTGCTGTTTTTTCTGAGGAATTAGTAACTTTCCTACAACTTCTCCTACTTCCCCTTGAAGACATCATCTTCACAACCGCAACCATCTTTCCTCCAATGTGTTTGAAAAGTTTAATAGGAGATAATTCTGATCTATTTGGCATCTTGAAGCTGCAAGTTGTTGTGGTACCTTTTGCTTTATTAGTAGTACCATCAACACTTTTTGTAGAGTTTTGCTTTTGAAACATGCTTGTTTTTGCATTCTTGGTCATGTCTAGCTTCACACATCCTCCTTCACAACCTCTTGCCGACATCTCGAAATCCAAATCAAAGATAATTTAACGTGCGTATAAATACGTGCAAGTTGATCCAGACACCACTATAATAAAACGAAGATAACTTAGTGTAAGTGGTGGGAAGAGTGATACTTAGGAGGTTTAAAGGTGGAGAGGATTAGTGTTAGAATTTGGAATGAAGAAAGAGGGTGAACATGTTTTGTGCTTATATAGAAAACATAGTGTAGAGAAAATAATGATGAAAATTGATGGAACAAAAAGGCTATTAGTTAGGCCAAGGCTTTCACATTTTGGTGCATGTATAGGGCAAAACATACTATGGACAATGTTAGTGAATGTGAAAGTGACTTCTTACAACAGTGAAAGACAACTACATTAAGAGACTGCACAAAATTCTTCACCACCCTATAGCTCCAAAATTTTGATATATGTCAAACCTCATACCCTATCGAAAATACTTGCTCGCATCAAATGTTTATACCAAATCAAGTCATTCAATATTACTGGAGTCACAAGTTTAAGTTATAATACATATTATTTAACCACACGGTGCGTCTAGTTATAAAAGTTTATACACAAGATACAATTTTTACATAGATTCGGTGTAATATCGGATGCAAGTAAATTTTTTAAATCGGGCCTGCGTCTTTTTTTTTTTATTATTTTAAAGTTTTGTGAAGGGGTAGATCCATAAGAAAAAATGCCAATTTCCTTCTAGTTCCATCTCTTTATTCACCAAAATTTACTCCTTTCTTTTTCTTCTGCCTTTTTGTCTCTTGTTAAAAAGAAAGTGAATTGACAGACAAGATGCTAATGGTTGCCATAAAATCTTGATATATCCCTATCACTATTAACCATCATAGAGAAAATGGAGTTCAACATCGATATACAGATTGGATACTCAAGTGTGACTTAGCTATCAATTTAATGAGATGACAATCATAGGAGATCAAGGTTCAATTACCATTTGAGACAAAAATATTAAGTAATTTCTTTCCGTTTATCTTGAACTTGGTGGCTTGAGTTATTTCGTAACCTATGCTTATGGAACCTTGTAAAATAGTTAAGGTGTGCCTGGACAATGCCGTTGTTAGAAAATAAAAGGCATATGTATACATCGTAACCGTGGTAAGGAAAAAAAGGACAACCCGGTATACTAAGCTATCGCTATGCGTAAGATTTGCGGAAAAAATCGGACCATAAGGGCCTATCGTACGTAGCTTTAGCCTGCATTTCTGCAACAGTGACAAGGATGTTATTATGATATTAGAGCAATCGTGAATGAAATTTTTGTATACCTTTTAGATCTTTTAAAGTTGTAAAATATGAGAAAGAATAGATTTGTCTAATTAGATTTTAGAGTCATCATTAAAGATTCTACCACCAAATTTCCAACTAATTGAAAAATTAAAATACAACTGCTAGCAGCGGCTAGTGTTGTAGCCTTTAAGTGGTAGGCACAACGGAGCACCATGGCCGTAATGTAAACAAATGCAAGAAAAGCTTGGTCTAATCCATCTAATATCCTTACAAAACTGAATCTTACAATTAAATATATACTGATAAAAGTGATGTGAAATGGTGCCATGGGGTCAATTAGATAAGGAAACTTGGTGGAAAAAGATATACTCAATAAAAATGGAAAAAGGGCACCAAAAAAGAGACAGAAAGANTATATATATTGGCAGTGTAAACTGTATTGAAAAAATCAAGTTAACATTTGGAATTAATTATGTCCTGATACGTCAAGACATGTGGATCAATAAAAGAATGACAGCTAGCAAAGAATAGTTGAAGAGATACGAGCCTTAACAGGCACGGGCAAAGATTCAAGAAAACAGGAAGGAGCGGTTACTCGGACCTTTTGGTGATTTGAAGAGACATCGGAAGAATGAACCTAGAGAGCAAAAAGTATAGATATGTATTATCCATAATTAATGGCATCAATGATGGAAACCGTTATAGAATCTTCACGAAACAGTTACGATTGTCAATTATAACGTTACATTAAATATCTCTAATTGCTCATAATGACTATGTTATGAGAGGAAAGAAACGTATTACTTAGAATAGCTATAAAAGGAGAGAAATAACATTTGTAAGGACACAAAATATTATTGGAATACACTGATTTACTTTGCTTTCTTTTACTTATTCAGTTATCGACTAAATCAATTCTTCTTATTTATTTTATATTTGATTATCAGTAACCCGAGTTCTTTTAAAAGTAAGCTTTGACCGAAATTCCCATTTTCTGGTTAAACAAATTGGTTCCGTTACTGGGAATCTGATAATCTTCTGCTTTCCAAATCGATTCTTTATCGAAAACAATCATGTCGAATGTCAATGACAATAACCAACAAAATTTACCACTCCAAGGAGATCCACAACATCAGCTGAACCAACAAGGTGACCGAACTCCACTCCCTTTGCCATAACATTCTCCTCGACAATCACGAGAGGGGATTCCTGACAGATCTGAATCAAATGAAAATGATCAAGCTATCGATGAAGCTTTGAAAAAATTAATCGCTCAACAGGTCAGCAATGCTCTTCAGGCTTTTACCAACCAGTTGCCGGTTGTACCGCCAACACCAACTCCAAACAACAACACCCTAGAAAATCATCGCTCAGGACTCGTTAATTCAGGCAGTGGCGGAGCTCCCAGCGAATCTCGTGATGGAGAGCCAGGTAATCCAGTTAATTTTGATTTACAAAATTTAGTACTAACTTTGCAAAAACAGCTCAAGGAGCAAAGCGACCGTATAGAGCAAATACCTGGAGTGCCGCCTGTGATCAAGGGAATAGATATGGACAAATATTCACAACAACCCTGAAAGCCAAGTGCTGCTCCTCTACCAATTTCGAAGAAATTCAAGATACCCGATATTCCGAAATATGATCGAACAACTGATCCATGGGATCACGTAACTACATTCACAACCGGTATAAAGGGTAACGACTTGACCGAGCAAGAAATTGAATCAGTATTGGTCAAGAAATTCGGAGAAACACTCACTAAGGGTAAGTTTAAGACGAGTTGAAACTGAAAAAAGGTCCGGGAAAATAGGTACGAGCCTTACATGGGACCAGCAGGAAGGACTCGTGTTCAAAACAAGAAAATCCAAGGTACGATCATAGATCAAGAGATAGAGAGTCAGGTTCATCATCAAGGTTCGAAAAAAAACGAAACACGCGAGAGACGCGAGATGATGACAGAAGCTCGAAGGTAAAGATCGGCGGTTACAATTTTAATGTTAGCACATTCGAATTGGTGGCTATTTTAAGGAGCATGGGAGACAAGGTACGGTGGCCAAAGGAAATAAGATCAAACCCGAACAGGCAAAATCTAGATTTTTTATGCGAGTTTCACAACGATCAGGTCACAAAACGGCAGATTGTAGATTACTGCAAGGTAAAGTTTAACATTTATTAAAACAAAGATATTTAACTGAATTATTTAGTAAAAAGGGAAAGTAAGCATATATGAAGAATAGGCAGGAGCCCCAAAACCTCCTTCACCAAAAAGGACGGTTGATGTCATAAGTGGATGAGAAGATATTAATGGCGTAACATACACGGCAACTAAGAAAGTGTCAAAAATAACAGTTACACACGGGAAACGAGTTCGACAAGTTCTGGAAGAAGATAGTATTACATTTGATGATGCAAATGCAGATGGCGTGGTAATCCCACATAATAATGCACTGGTAATATCTTTACTTGTACATGACACTAATGTAAAACGAGTTTTGATTGATCCAGGTAGTTCCGTGAATATTATTCTGTTAAGAGTGGTAAACGAGATGTAAGCTGATGATAAGCTAATACCCAAGGCACATACCTTGTCTGGTTTTGACAACTCGAGTATCGTAACAAAAGGGGAGATAATACTCACCACATTCGCAGAAAGAGTGGTCAAAGATACGAAGTTTCAGGTGGTAGAAATGGATATGCCCTACAATATGATTCTTGGCAGACCATGGATTCATGAAATGGACGTTGTTCCATCTACCTTAAATCAAGTTATCAAATTCCCATCACAATAGGGGATACGGCAAATCCGTGGAGACCAACAAGCTTCACAGAACATTAGTTCTGTGGCAGATTCGAACGCAAAAAGTGACAAAAACAGCAACTATAGAATGCAGTTGAGGATGCATCGACATGAACCTCAACTGAAGATGGGCAAACAGATGTAGATTTGAAGCCCGATACTATTCAGGAACTAGAGAAAAATGAAAATATCAAAACAACGATCAAGGAAATGGAGGCTGTGGTGCTATTTGTATATTGGCCAGACAGAAAAGTTTATATTGGACCAACCTCAGCCCGGAAATGAAACTTAAGTTGATTGAATTTTTAAAGGCTAACACAGATTGTTTTGCTTGGTCCCATTCAGATATGACAGGTATACCACCGGAGGTAATGACTCACAAATTAAATGAAGATCCATCGTACCCGCCTGTCAAACAAAAGAAAAGGAAGCAAGGCTCCTTCAAGGACTAGGTGATTCAAGATGAGGTGCAAAAATTTTTAAAAATTGGGTCTATCCGCGAGGTAAAGTATCTAGATTGGTTGACTAATATTGTTGTAGTACCTAAAGAATGGTAAGTGGTGGGTTTGTGTAGATTACACTGATCTAAATAAAGCTTGCCCTAAAGATTCTTTTCTATTACCACATATAGATCAACTAATTGATGATACTGCAGGGCATAAATTGTTAAGTTTTTTAGATGCCTATTCAGGATATAATCAGATTAAAATGGATTCTCTAGATGAAGAAAAGACTTCCTTCATCACAGACAGGGGGACTTACCTTTACAAAGCCATGCAATTCGGTTTAAAGAATGATGGGGCCACATATCAAAGGCTGGTGACAAAAATGTTCCAAGAACACTTGGGCAAAACCATGGAAGTGTATATAGATGATATGTTGGTTAAATCACAACAAACAGGAGACCACATTCAACACCTGACTGAACATTTCAGATTCTTTGCAAATTTAATATGAAGTT